ATAAGGATAACAATTTTGTACCGAGTTTTGTTAAAAGATCTCCTTAATTATAAACGGAGGAAAAAGAGTAACCAGACCAACATTACAACGAAGAAACAATCTATCGAGAGCCATTACAAACAAGCCACAAAACATTGCACAAAACAAAAGGTAATCGATACTCAACCAACCGAACCGGCAGCGAAATAATTAAATCCATAACCACAAGCATAAAAGCGCTCCAAGATTCAGGAAAATCAAAACTAAAGCCATCCATGATGCATGCACAGCAGTGAAATAGAAAGGCCAGCAGCTATCTTTGAAAAGATGAGAACAAAGGTTGCTAGCAGCATTGGCTGTGCAAAGGAAGAACCACGAAAGGGAAATTACCTTAGAAGGAAGAAAACCAAAGAGCGAGCCCTGCAAAGCAAAGTTTGGAGGCAAAGACCCAACGAACGCACGAGCGCTGACCCCTGTTGCAATCCAAGCTCTCATCCAAGCAATGTCTCAACTCAGGAAATGACACCAGCAAGACACAGCAGAGCAGAATCAAATCAGAAAAAAAATGCGCTTTTGAAGGACTAAGAGGCCGCACAATGTCACGCCAAATCCTAGACTTGCTTCTCACGCTTGTGTTTACAGGGAGAACGCGGTTTTCCCCTCCCTCATTTTTAGCATTTATAACTCTTCGCCAGAGCTTATTTCTTTCTGACACATAACGCCAAAGCCATTTATAAAGAAGGGCTTTATTTTTTACCTTAAAATCCACTAAACCCAGGCCTCCAAACTGACGAGGGAGGCAAAGGCGCTCCCAGCTCACCCAGTGAATCCTACGAGAGTCCAACGACCCCCATATAAATCGTGCAACAGACTTATTCACCTCTGAAGCAATTTTGGCAGGCACTTTGAGTATCGACAAGAAATACAACGTCAAGCTTGATAAAACAGATCTTGCTAAAGTAGTTCAACTTTCGGGATCAAAGCAATGAATGAGTGATTCAAATCAACGTTCCATTCTTTTCCTTCCCAGAAATCGAAAACCAGCTTCATTATATCATCTTTAACATTCGGCCAGAATCTTTTTATAAATTCCATTGTGAATCCATCCGGACCCGGCGCCTTATTATTACCCGCACATCTAACCACATTCCAGATTTTCGCTTCCTCAAAGGCCCTCCTGCTCTTTTAGGGACTTGATGTCGCATGTAAATTCACTGACATTGCTTGTGGGACATGAGTTATAGGCTTCACAGAAATGGTTCCTAATAAATCATAATTAAGAAATATTGCATTGCCAATTCAATACTATTTATCATAACCCTGCTACTTGAGTCTTGAATACCTTGAAAAAGGTAAAATATCAAAATTTGCACATGCCACTCCCAAGTTAATGGGATTTTTCTTTTTCCTGCTAAGACCAAAAAGGTTTTAAAAAAATATATATCAAATTAGTCTAATTGGGTTGTTCACATTTTAGGTACTTGTTTGTGCTCAAGAATTTAAAACATTGAATTGAAATTGCAAAAAAACTAGCAGATGATAGCTAATATTAGTCAGTGACCACCCTAATTGCCTATTGGCCTGTATACCTTTGTTTTCTATCGGTTCAAGATTTTCTTACAAGTCAGCCATATGGGCCTTCCATTTGTCTTTCTCTTCCTATATATATATATATGGTTTGTTGAGAGAGAAATGTTTTATATACTTTTGTTTGAATTTGGAAATATGGTTTATTTAATTTAATTTTATGTGTAAACAACTTACCCCTTTACGATTGAATCCTAACTACGTCATGAGTATATAATCATGATCTCTCTCTCTTTCAAAGAGGACTGAGAGGGCTAAAGAATTCTCCATTCTCGTCCTTTCCCTCTCTATTTGTCTCCTTATGAAAATCTTACTCATCGAAACACGACCCTCCATCCATAACAAAAGAGATGAATCTTAATCGACCAATTAACTCATTATCATCATAAACCCATCAAATTATCTTAAACCACTATTTCCCATGTTTATTTTAAGATTTATAATTATATTATCCGAAATATCATAACATGTGATTGTTATGTTAAACGGTGATGAAGCATGCACGTCAAGAGTTTCCGGCCTTAAAAAAAGTTGAAACAATGAAAGCATAAATCTCATCTTATCCAAAAAGGGAAGAGCATATGAATCTCTCTCAAAAGCTGAATGCAAGCCCGACCCATATCACATAGGATTCCAAATCACTTACCACCATGAATCAATCAATTCCAAATAAAATCTCCAACTCCTCGTTTCAATATTCTTACCATGATGAAATAAGGAGGATTGATTTGCATGGTTAACTTTGCTCCCTGCCCCATGCCCTCTACAAGAAGGGAAACCCCTTTATATTTTTACATAGAATAACAGTTATATCCAATTAGATCTAAAAGTAAAACCCAAGTCATTGGAGAAATGATGGGGATAGAGTCGTCAAATTGATGCTATCTCCCCCATGCTTTACATTTGGGTTTGGAATAAATAAAGTTATATAAAGAATGGAGAGGAAAGAAGAGAGAGCTTCAAAATTCCCCTTGGTGGGGTTTGGTCGAGCATTTTGACAAAAGAAATAGAGACAGAAAGGGGATAAAATTCATCAAAGATATTGTATAGTGGGCTGCAAAAAGATATTCATTATGATCCCATGAACCCAATCCAAGGTTTTCAATCAACATATTTTTTGTGTATTAATCACTGGCCATGATTCAATCAACAAGTACCGTTTGGTTAACCATATGAAGAACATAACCTAATGCTTGATAACAAATCTAAGCCAAAAATATCAATAGATGAGTGGAAACACTGTTAAAGTAAAAATCATATATATGACCGACTCTTATTTAATCGAGTGATAAAAAAATTGATATCTATTAAGTAAAGTTTTAAATTAAAGTATTGTAAACACAAAATAATAGTAAAATTGTTTTATCTCATGTTTAAGGATACTTAACTTGGTTTCAAATATAATTAGGTCCATATGATTTTATTTAAAGAGGAGCGTGTATATGTACATATAGTGTATTGGAACGTATGAATTTCAATTGATAAAAAGCATGTATACATGTAATTGTGTTTGATTATTCATCCTTTTTAATTTAAACATAGAATCATAAATTATAGTAATTGAAAATTTTGAGTATAATGAATGTTTGGGAGATGAGTACGTGCTCTAGTGACGGCCAACGGGGAACCATCTATTGGTAAGCGGTCCTTGTACTTGATGAATGAGAGAAGGTCCTCTTAATGTCAAAGAATAAGGGATATATAAATATTTTTATGAATGCAGATAGGTATAAATAAAATTTCAAAATATGTATAATCAATAGAAGAAAATTCAGATTTTAAAATGCACAGTTACTCAATCTAATACAAACTTAAATCCGCCAATGAGTCGGATGCTGATGAAAAACTTCAATGAATTCGACTTGTGTATTACTATTACATTATGTTTGGGTAAAACAATTATCATTCAAACATAGCTTATACTAATGTCTGGTACTTTTAGCAGCTGATGAGAGTTGGTTAATGAATTGAGGCATCGTGTTAGTTATGGGGTATTAGAAAAGGTTGAGAGACTTGAGAGCAGAAAGGGCTAAATATCTGAAACAAACTTTATTTCAATAAGCTTAGCGTTCTTCTAAGCGACCATCTCGTTGGGGTAAGCAAAGCAATGTATCCCAACTCTTAACATTATCATTCTATTCAAATCAACCCTCCTTTTAGGGTTTTAAAACAGGGACAAAGGAAAAGACACAAAGTACTAACGTCAGAGTTCGAAAGATATGCGCTTAAATTATCATTTAATTCTACAAAAAATATCATTAAAACAATAAATAATAGTGGACTGAAACTACTTTATTATCGTTTTTTCTCAATTACGTGGACTGGGGTATTTCCTAGTCATTGATTTGAACTGCCTCCTTTTTCTTTCATTTTGTACAACTTAGTTTTTCTTTAGTTTTCCATATTTAATGCATTATTAAGGTTGTTTGAATCAAGTGGGAAAAGTTTGATATCCTCTGCGAAAATTGTATTGAAGTTTTGTAGATAAAAATGATTTTTAAGAGAACATTTTAGTTTCGGCCGAATCGACTCAATTTTTTGAGATAAAATCCGAACACCTGACCCGATCCAACCCAAAAAACATATACTTCCACCCGATCCGAACCTGACTCAACTTTTTGAGATAAAATCCGAATTCGATCCGACCCGACCCGAAATAATAAAAATATTATTTTTATTCAATAAAAACAGTGATTTAATTGGAAAAAATAATATATAGAGGAATATTCTTGTAATTATTCCTAAATTTATAAGGTAAAGTTATATTTTTTCGGGTTGGGTCGAATCAGATATTTTTACCCTAAACATGAATCCGACCCGACCCGAACATCACGTTTAAAAAACCCATCACAACCTGACCCGATCCCAAATTTCTTTTAAAAACCCGACCCAATCAAATCAAATCAAACCCGATCCCAAATATATAGAGTCAATAGTAACATCAAGCGCTTTGGTTATAATAACAAGTATTTGATTGTTAAGGATTAAAATAAAATAAAAATGTTAACAAACTAATTTTAAATTTTTTTAACTATTTCGTGTGTTATGTATAGTAAATATATTAATATAAATAAAACTCATTCAATTTGTGTACGTGTCAATATATGTTTATAACACATTTTATGCATGTTTCTTTTTTATTTATATATTTTCACTAATATTTTACTAATCTAATTTATATATTTTATAAATAATAAAAAATAAAAAATATTTTTTTGGTAAACATCTTATTTATTTATTATCACAAATACACTAAAAATAATCTTATTCTTATTTATGAGAAAATATTTTTAACCTGGGGTACACCAAATATTATTTTATAAATGTATATGACCTCTACTAATATCATTACACAATTATTAAATTTTGCTGTATTATTTAAATTATTTGGCCTAAATTTACCATCTATTCTCTCCTTTGTCAGCCACTATAATCTTCACCTTCTGTACTCTATTATATACAGGACCCTGCTACTGAAACTTTCCCTCTTATTCCCTCTCTCCCTCTCTCATATCTCAAATCTATCTGTGAATCTTTATATACACATAAATGGATGGATGGAGAGGGTTATCGGGTAGTGGAGAGATTTAGAGAAAACAAAGAACATCTTCTTGTCTGTATTTTTCCATATGTTTTGATAGCATGCGGAGAGCAGTTTTTTCAGCTGCTTATATATCTAAGAGATAGATACGAAAGAGATACATACATACATATATGTGTATATATCTGAATTGCGTTGCAGAGTTGTTCAGACAAGCAATCCATGGCTAGATAGCGACTTGGAGGGATAACCCATCATAATCTTTTCACGAGATATATTTTGCTTTTGCTGCTCTTTGTTATTTACAGTGTGTGTGTTTAGTTTGCATCAATAGCTGGGGATTCTCTCTATATCTGGGCTAACTTTTGCTGGGTTTTTTTTTCTTCTGTGTTGTTTCTTTGTGGTTACTCTTTGAAAAGAGCTAAGAATAAAGTAGAACAACGAGAGAAGATCAGTCATCAGACAAGTTTTCTGTTTTTCTTTTTTCTTTCTTTCTTGGAGTTTTCTTGTTCCCAGTCATGGTTCATACAGCTATGTCCAATTCTACTTCTTTGTCTGAAGAGGCTAGTACTGTTTCTTCTAGTTTTGGTGGCTTAATCCCTATTGTTTCAACCATTTCTCCACAGAAGCAGCCACAAAACATCAAGAAAAAAAGAAGCCTTCCAGGGAATCCAGGTAAGACTTTTGTTAATTCTCAATTTTGTTTTCTGGGTTTCGATCATTTTTTTGGTGGGGCTCTTTAACTGTTGGATGCTATTACAGACCCAGATGCTGAAGTGATTGCTCTATCTCCAAAAACACTATTGGCCACCAATAGATTTGTGTGTGAGATCTGTAACAAAGGTTTTCAGAGAGACCAGAACCTTCAGCTTCATAGGAGAGGCCATAATCTTCCATGGAAGCTGAAGCAAAGAAACAACAAAGAGATGAAAAAGAGAGCCTATGTTTGCCCCGAGCCTACATGCGTCCACCACCATCCTTCCAGGGCTTTAGGTGATCTTACGGGGATCAAGAAACACTATTGCAGAAAACATGGAGAGAAGAAATGGAAGTGCGAGAAATGCTCAAAGATTTATGCTGTTCAATCTGATTGGAAAGCTCATACTAAGACCTGTGGAACTAGAGAATACAGATGTGACTGTGGAACTCTTTTCTCTAGGTAATCTTCATTTGATCCCTTTTCACAAATTTATTTTTTATGTTTATTCAAGGGAAGTGGAGACCATTAATACAAGTGTCTGTTACTGATGACCTTGCGAAGAGAAAACTGAAAGCAATGCCTCTGAAAATCTGAACCAGCTGCCATGTTCATCACTGAACCAAAAATGACGTCGTTTTTAAGTGCTTTTAAGCTTTGGTTCGAATACCCATCATTTTTAATTCTTTAAACTTGAATATTTTGTCTGATAAATATTGATCATTTACCATATTCATGCGTGGGAATGGGTTTTAAGTTTCATGTGTTTTACCCTTTGTAATGGACTGAACTGCAGTTTCAGACACAATATGGGTATCAAAGAAAAAGCAAAATAAGCTTTTAATTATTACTTTTTGGGGTTTCATTATTAACTTTCAGAGAAGACTGATAAATCTGCAAAAATATCGTTGGCAAATTATGTTTTTATCTTTTGTTTCTTCCTCACTCCTTTGATTAGATTTATGGTATTGCATGCATGAAGTGTTGTGGTTTAGCACTATTCACTGTATCCATCATAATTTGGCCAAATTCTTCAAAATTTGAGCCATCTTTGCATGCATGTGTATACCCATCAATTAACTCTCTGTCATGTATATCTCCCTCCCCTCGATCCTTTACATTTGACCAACTATGATGATATCTTCTCCTTTGTTTTTACAACTTGTTTTTTCTTTGGATCGAATCTCGTTTTCTCAGTTAATTATGACTAATTTGTAAACGGTTTCTTGTATATCTTATACAGGAAAGATAGCTTTATAACTCATAGAGCATTTTGTGATGCATTAGCTGAAGAAAGTGCAAGGCTCTCCGCCAACCAACTTGCCTCCGCCGCCGTGAATCCAACTCTCCACCATTTGACATCCCATGCAAACCCCAACGCCGGTCACTCTTCTCTTTTCCCTTTCGAAACCCATATCTCTCTCAATCCATGGGTTGACCCTACTCAAACGGCTAACCCTAACCCTAATCCTAATACCTCACTTCATGTCAAGCCCGAGTCTCGCCATTTCGTGCCATTCTTCCAGGAACAACCGCTGCCGCCAACTCCAAAGACCTTGATCGCCTCACCCTTCCAAAGCCTCCATGTCAGTAACAACGGTCCATCCATCGTTGCTGCTGCTACCACGTCGACGACTCCTCACTTGTCGGCCACAGCGCTCCTTCAAAAGGCTGCCACCGTTGGTTCAACCGCCACGCATATAACCACCACCAACGGCAGCAGCAGCAGCAGCATGGGGTGTCATGTTTCCCAGGATTACTTTGGGTTCACGTGCGGGAACCTGGACACGTGGCAGAAGAGTAGCGACCGATTCACCAGGGATTTTCTAGGTTTGACCGGAGACCATCACCATCATGGTGGAGGTGGCAATGGGGATGTTAACGTTAGCATGAACGTGAAGGGCGTGCTAAGCTACGCCGGTCAAGTGGAGTTGCAGCACCATGAGAGAGACCACTCGTTGTTGAAGCCCCAAGGTTTCGGATTCGATGAGCCTCCCCCGGAAACATGGGCTGATTGTTGAAGCCGATAACAAAATGATAAAACCAGTGGCGGTAATATAGTAATAATTTAGAAATATTTGGAAGAAAAACGAAAGAAAGAAAGAAGGGCCATGATATAATCCAGAGAGACGCTATCTCCTCTTCATTTCTTTAATTCCAAGAAAAAGAACCAGTAGTTTATTTTCATTTCGTTTAAATTTTGTGCTTCTTTTCAACTTTGGACTAGTGTTCAATGGTAGTAAGACTTCGTTTGTGCCTATTTCTTGGAAAATATGTCATGGTTGAAAGGTAATGGAACTCTTATATTTTTGCCATATAAAATGGATCATAAATAAGCTGAAATACTGATTTTTCCAATTTTTTTTATGAATTTTCCCTTATAAATTGTTTTTCATTTTGCAATTATTTGTCTTGACCCCTTCAAAGAATATATACCAAGAGGAGAAAAAGACAAGGGGTTATATGAATTACCCATCAAATTTGAATTGTCAGGTGTTTCTTCTTTATCTATAAGCAGCAAATTTAGGATATTTAATGGATCTCAAAAATTATTATACCTATTCATTAATATAAATCGAATTCCGTAAAAAATTATTCAATTATATATATTTTTATCTAAATGATCTAACATTTTATTTTAGTAAACCAATTATATTATTCAATTTTAATTACCCCATACGGAAAGTATTGGTCTACAATATCTTTGGAATATTTTAGAAAATTTGAGAAAGTGGAAAGCAAATATTAGTAGAATATGCCAAAATTGTTCGATGCTCATGGATTATGAATATATATTATTTTTCAAAATGCAATGAATAATATTGTGAGAAAAAGAAAAAAAAAAGGAGGTAAGAGAATATTCATAGCTATTATTTGGTTGCATGTGAGTATCCCCTCCCTCTCTCTTGATCATGATGATGACCCTACACGTTTCATGCAATGCCATGCTTGACAATTTATCGTGCATGCACTTGAATTACCAAATTACCCTTCATTTACAGCAACGTGTTACGTGTTCTTATTATAATTGAAGAGAGTGTATCTATGCAGTGGATATACATCTATATATATATAAATAACTTCAGTGGTTGAAAATGCCTTATAATATACGATTTTAACTAATTTATTTTAGATTTACGAAAATGACCAACAAATTCGTAACGTGAACTCCAATTTCGCAACACATGTTTCAAAATCGCAACGCAAATAGGTAAATCACAACGATAATATATAAATCGCAAAGGGTAATTACTGATATAAATAAACAGTATTATCGCAACGCGATTTTCGTTTTCACTTAGCGTTGTGAAATTCGAGTTGCAAATTTGGAGATTTCGTGTTGCGATTAACATATTATCGTTGCGATTTACCTATTCGCGTTGCGAATTTGGAAAATCGCAACACGAATTTTGTTTTCGCAACGCGATTATCTAAAATTACAACGCGTATTTCGTTTTCGTAACGCTAATTACCTATATCGGTAATTAGCGTTGCGAAATTGGAGAATTCGCATTGTGATTTACATATTATCGTTGTGATTTACCTATTCGTGTTGTGAATTACATATTATCGTTACAATTTAACTATTCGCGTTGCGATTTTAACTTTCGCAACACGATTCTCCAAAATCGCAATACGAATTTCATTTTTGCAACGCTAATTATCTATATCGGTAATTAACGTTACGAAATACAATTTGCGAATTTGGAGAATTCACGTTGCGATTTACCTATTCGCAACGCGATTCTCTTAAATCGCAACGGGATTGCGAAATTCAAATTGCGAATTTGGAGAATTTACGTTGTAATTTACATATTATCATTGCGATTTACCTATTCGCGTTGTGATTTACATATTATCGTTGCGATTTACCTATTTGCGTTGCGAATTACATATTATCGTTGCGATTTAACTATTCGTGTTGCGAATTTGACTTTCGCGTTGCAATTTTAGAACCTGTGTTGCGAAATTGGAGTTCACGTTTCGAATTCGTTGGTCATTATCGCAAATCCAAAAAAAATTGGTTAATAACGTATATTATAAGATATTTTCGGTCTAAAAACATATATTATAAGACATTTTCTCCATATATATATATATATATATATATATATATATATATATATATATATATATATATATATATAACAAATACATAAAGCAAAGAATAAATAAGCTAACAGAGTAATTAATAGAGAAGAAATGAGGTAAACATGTCGGTGGAAAGGCAGACCTTTGTTCCGTTTGAATTGACGATCCTGTCTTCCAGTCCTAACTGCTCAACTGAGATCAACAAATTCGTATCGACGTGAATACACTATATTAAAAAAATGCAATATTCAAAGCCAAATTCGTATCCGTGAATGAACTTCCATGGTATAACACGTAAAACAGCCCATGACAGATTATATATATGGTTTATGTAAGTAGCGTTTGGTTATTGGTGTTGAAATCAGAGTAATTAAATTGTTGAATAAAGGTAAGAATTGGCTTTAGAGAACTATGAACTATTATTTTACTCGACGTGAACCACAAGTAACGGCATATTTGAAGGATTTGAGATACCCGTGATTCTGAATATTATTGCACCATCACGTGACAAATTAATCCTAAGCTGTCAATTAAAATGTACAGATCACCAATTATCATGGAAACTTTTTGTAATAATAATAAAGGTAAATAAAGTATTCTACTTTTAAGGGATGTTATTATAGAGTTTAATATTCCAATGTTCAACCATATATATATATATATATAAAAAGAAAAGCTATGGTTGAATTTCAATTTTCAAGGTTAACGAAAAATAGATCCCATAACTTCTTAATAAAAAGAGAAATTTATCTTTTAATCAATGAACTTTTAAAATGTATATAATATTATTAAATTTATTAATACAGTCATAATTGTTTTCAAAACAATTATGACAAATATGTTATCAAATAATTATTACGACGTTATAATAAATTATAAAAGTTTGATAAATTTGATAAAAATCTAATCATTATTTTATAACTTTAAAAAGTTTAGCGATCAAAACGTTCATATGAACATAATTCAATGACCTCTGGTATACTTCACCTAATATTAAATCATTATCAAATCTCTTGATTAAGACAAATTAAAATGAAACTCAAAAGTCAATAACCTACAGAGTAAGTGGTTAAAAACTTTTAGTTGACACCTCTTCTCTTCTTTAAGTCATGGGTTCAAAAATTTAAGATCTATTTATAACCATACCCTAACCTAATGGTTGTAGTTTATTTACAAATTCAATCACATCTTTTTTCCCCTTTTCTCTTCATGCTTCAAATTCCTCTTAATCAATTCCCAAGAATTCCTTTTTCCTTCACTTTTTTTTTTTTTCATGGGGATGGTAAGAAGGAAATTGGATAATGTAATGTATACCACACAAGTATGTAGCCTTTTCTAAAGAGGGAGGGTGGGTCTGTAAAAACCTGTTATAAGCGTGAGTGAAAAAAGGCTTACTAAGTTGATGGTGTATGTGAAATTGTGCTGGTGTGTTGGTGGTCCGTAATTTTGTGGTACCAAACCAAAAGAGATTAAAAAAGAGTGGTAAAACAAGGGAAAAGAAGAGGACTCCAAAGGGTGAAGGAAGGGAAAATATGTCAACGGTTGTGAAAAAGATGTTGGATTTAACTTTCAAAGTTTGAATCAACAATTCAGTCTTTTATATTTTTTTGGCTAGGTGAGTGGTGACACTTTATAAATTTCTGTGCATGTCCCTATATCACAGTTCACAGCTAATGGTTAGCAGTTGAACTTACATGATATTACGTTCAAATAATCGGTCCTCCGCTTTGCTGCTCTGGTTGCATGAGCCCGCGTGGTCCGATCCATTACTTCTCTGAAAAAAAAAATAAAAACAAAATACTACTACGAGATTGAAGGGTAAGCATGAAATTAATTTGGGCAACTGAAAGATCTGTAAATAGTTAAATGCACCAACTGAGGTTAAAGAGAGTAGCCTAACTTTTCTTAGTAAATAAATGGTTTATGAGTCAATTGTTAGGAGATCAATCGAATTCATTACCACCTTACTCTTTAACAACTTTAACCAGCTAAAAAAGATAAAGATTCTGGCAGGCAAATCCTTGCTAGCATGTAATTCAACTATAGAGATAGGGGAGCCTTGGGATTAATGAAAGTAGAAGTTCAGTGCTTATGGGTATATCCAAGCTTTTAGAAAGTTTAAGGTACAATACAAGATATACATACCATTTGCCTACTAAAAGAGACTGCCTCTTTTTCTCTTTTCTTTTCTTTTCTTTTTTTCTTTTCTTACCTCCTTCTGCTGTACAACTAGGCAAACCAAAAGCTTCTCTTCTATTCCTCCCTCTTCCTACCCACTTTCTTCTCTCAAGAGGAATTTGCACATGTCATCTTCCATCAGGGAATCTCATCTCAACAAACTTTTCCCCTCTTTCCTTGCCTTTCCTTCCAATTCTAATAATTACCAAACCCTTCTTTCCTATGCTTTTCTTTTCTTTTACCTTCTGCTGCAAATCCACTCTTTTCCACAACCTCAGCACAGTATAGACTTCCACACTACAAATGAATTTATGAAATAGATATTCGCATGGATTTCTTCATCGTATGTTATATAAAGAAGCAACTTTCTACCGTGTTGCTTAAGCTAATAACTGTAAAAGCCCATTTTCATTAATACTTGCTATTTTCATCCATAAAAAACTTTAATTTTAGTAAATAGAATCTTAGCAAAATATGGTTACAAGAAAGGGACTAAAACAAAGAGATTGATGATCGCGATAGCTAGCGTCTTCTATGACTAGGGTCCCCATTTCCTCACCACTAATAGTCATTTCTAATGCCCATTTTGAACATAAAATAACGCATATAGGTGTCATTGTGTGTGGGTGTGGTTAAGTTATAAGAAAACTGCTCCCCCATTGCTTTCTTCTCCAAAATGCAGTTCATGGTTTTAGTTAAATAGCTACTTAGCTGAAGTTAATTTCTAGATCCCCATGCCTACCATTTTCATATAGTTGATGTACGAAAGTTTCTTTCCCCAAAAGTGGTGATTACTGTAGCTATATAATCTTAACGAAACATTCAGATAAGGCAATGGAAGAGCTTTCAAATTT